TTTTGTTACTTCTGTAAATCTCTTTTGAATGAAGAATTTATTTCTTTTCTAGATGAATTACTTTTTATACGTTGCACTTGCTTACATACATCATTTTTTTAACCAAATTCGTAGGCTGCCTTTAAAAAGCGTCGGTTTTCCTAATGCGCAATTGCACATTCACATAGCTAGATGGAGATAAACAACTCGTTAAATAGGCATTTTTTAAATGGAAAAATTGATCTTTTGTTTCATTTCTAATTGGGTTAAATGTGGTTCATAAATATTACCGATATATTATCTACTTGGTAATTTATTATTTATTTATCTATTGTAATTTTTATGCGCTCATTAAAATAGTTTTTGTTACTTTATATCATTTAAGGTTTCTGCTTTCTTGGCCTTAGAGTTTTATCCTTAACTAAAATTAGTTTATTGTTTTCTATCATATTTTAACATGAAAGCTTGTGGATCATTTCACTCTACGTGTAAAGGTTACGGAGCCATACTATGCACAATTTCTTGCCTTTCGTGAGGTGACAAGTTACCTTCTTTTGCTAGATGCTTACAAGCGCCATCGTGCAGGAGAAGTTGTCCCTGATTCCTTCTCGTCTAATTCACTTGATGCATCAAATTGCCCGCAGCCGGATATATACATGCTCGACGGTAATGGCTCCTTACATCCGCGAGATATGGGTGTTGCTTGTCACCTTGGTGTTCTCATTGACTTGCCGACACTAGGCGTCGCCAAGAATCTATTAATATTCAATGACACAAGTATGAAGCCGCAAGAATCACGAAAAGATAAGCAAGTTAGCCGTCGTATCCCTGAGGGGAAACGAGGTCTTGAGAAAAATATTGGCGAATTGAAAATAGATGACTCTGAGGTTGATTATTCAATGAAACAACAGTCTTCACATATTACAAAAAAGACCGATTACGTGTCTTCTCTAGAGGCCAACTCCTTTCAAGATACAAGAAAATGTTTAAAAAGCGGGGAACTTGCTATGGAGGACCTGTCAGTCGCTATTGACAGCCGAGAAGTCATAAGCGAGGTCAGATGGTTTGTTTATAATGTTTAATGGGTCGTTTTTTTTATATTTTTTTGATAACCAACCAATAATGCCCCTTTTAAATTTCCTTATTTTATCAGGTTTAGTTTCATAACAATGTTGGTAACTTGTTTTTGAAGATTTGGTTCATAAGGGTATTCTTTGGTCGCAAGTTTAATTCTCATTTATTCCTTATCTTTTTTTCACCGCGAATTACTGACTTGGTTTCACTTATCTAAAGATCAGTAGCTTAAAAATTCTATTATATTTTTATTTAGTCTAATTAGATAATTGATTCCATGAAAGGCTTTAAAGTATTATGTCATCCACCTTATTTTTTGGATTTCAATTTGACATTTTTTTGCTGAATGTTGGTCTAGATTCTTCTATCACAGCTTTCTTTATGCCTAATTTTATTTTTTAGGAATAAATTACTTCTTACAAGGATTTCGCTTTTTAGATCTACGTTTCTTATGCATCTTACGCCTTTTTTACACGAATATAATATTTTAAGTGAATTATTTTTTTTCGTTTGATACTATACAAAATAAAGGCGAAAATTCAGTTTATAGTTCTCTATCAACCGATATTTATTATAATGCCATCTATAACTGATATGTAAGCTGAGAATTATGGTGTCCTTCAGTAGTTCACCTACTATCGGCTTGGCAGTAGATATTTTATTAGAAATC